TCTTTGAAGATGTGAAGGAACTTGTTTGTTGTTTTCGTACAAGTCCTTGCTCACTACTTTGGACTTTTGGTGAGAACCGTTGAGGAGAATGTAGCTTTGGAGCTACTGGTTTTGAGGTCTTGTAGTACTTCAAAGTGTTTTTGCCATTATTAGAGTGTTTTGTCCGATGACACTAGGGTTGTTGTTTGCTAAAAGTTGGTGGCCTTTGTCGATCAGCACCTTGGATGGGAAGGGCTATTGTTGAGCTAGTCTATACCAATAGTTTATGTTCGCCTTGCCAGCTTCTTCATTGCCACCTTCGCCAAGTTCCTTGGGGACTAGGATGTTGGTTTCCATCAAGCTTGATGGAGGTTGGGGACAAAGCTTGATTTCAGTGGAGGGTTATGGGCCACTTTCCAACCATCTTCTTGGTTGGGTTTGGGGTTTTTGGGGCACAAGGATGTTAACCTAGTTATGCTATGTTGCTCTCCATTAGTGTGCAATGCATATTGAGTGGGCAAGGTGTTCGTGGCATTTCTAGTGCATTTATTGTTACTCGGTAGCTTCCTCTATTCCAAGCGATGAAGGTCGATTCCAATGGTGACTAAAGTTGACTCGAAGACGAAGTGTCGCGGTGGATAATAGTCGTTTGGTTACCATTTGACCCGGTCTATAGGTGGATGGCTTTGAGACCAGGTTTGCTTCCCTCAATGCCTAGCCTTCAGAGGATTTGATATGGGTTGAGGGTAATGTTTGGTTGGAATAAGATACATGATGGCCGCCGCCTTTTCGATCCATAGCAGTCACTGTCTCATGCAATGCCATCGCCGACGCTGCCCTCATCCCTCTTCGCCAGTGTTGGGGATGGTTGGTCTTTCGGGCACCATAAAGGGGGCCGTAAAACAAGTGATGGTCGATCATTAGTATTGCAGGGTAGTGGTAGGGTTGGGTTTGGAACTGTGATATTATATATGGGAAACTGTGGGGCATTATATATGAGAAATTATGGCATTGTATGTGGGAAACCATGACATTGTATAAGACTACATGAGAAACTATGGCATTGTATATGTGGATCTGTGGCATTATATACAGGAATATGTGGTATTATGCATTGAGAACATTGGGATCGCTGATGACGGTGAAAAATCAACGGCAACAATGGCGTATTTCGGCAGGGCACGCACATCATCGTAGTGGGGTCGGAGACTCGGAGTAGGCTAGCGACGGAGACAGAAGTGACCGTAACATGCAACAAAGACGTGGTGGTAGTGGGACACGCTGATGGCGGCAAGAGGTCATGGCGATGGCGGTAGGGGGTGCTGGCGTAGGCGGTAAGCTTCCGTCAACAGTGATGAGTTTCCAATTCATTTCCATTCTTTTATTCCGTACTAGCGTCTCTGAGGGGTGCTGGCGTTGACAATTTTTTTAGTTTTACAATTATCATGCTTTGGTCCAAAGATTGGAGTCCAAATTGCATGGGCAGCAGGCCCGCCCATGAGGGTGTTCATGAGGTGCAGTTGTACAGGGCCTCCAATTATAAGGGGCCCATTTTTATTTTTCTCCTATTATACTCCATCCGTCTTAATTTAAATTACATATTTATTATTTACATGATTAAATTTCGTTTTTTTATTTTTTTTATTTATTATTAATTTAGTAAAATAATATAGTCATATCACATTTTGATTCATAGAAATTTTTAGAGCCTAAAAATATAAAAATGCACAGGGCCTTCAATATTGATTGGGCGAGCCTGATGGGCAGTCAACACAGCGCGTGAGCATTATTTTTTTTCTTTTTAATATAAATTAATTTAGTTATTGCTTCTATTTAGAGGAGTTTAAGTTTTAACTCTTATTTTAGGGGTATGATATATGTTTTACTCCTAGTTTGGTCCTTTTCCCAACTCTCTACTCAACAAGGAACACTATGATACTAACTTTGGAAGGATTGGTGAAGAAATGGGAGAGAATGAGTTTCTTATATAGCAAGAGGAAGATGAAGGAGACATTCTTCCTAGTGTCATTCATCCTGTGCGTTCGGCGTAGTGGAGGGAGCGGCGATATCTATGGGCTTTAAATGCTAGTCACTGATTGGGACTAATTTGGTCCTAGTCGGGATACACTTTTTGGGTCAACTTTCTCCGAATTGAAATCCGATTAAACCATTGGGGTCAGACAGTCAAACTCTACATAATAATATAATTTTCATTATTTATTGACAAACTTTATAAATTACTCCCTCCGTCCGGGAATAAACTTCTTACTTTGACTTTTCCTCATTTTTCGTGGGTGTTGAATATGGGTGTAATTTGTCTGAAATGCCCTCCTTCTCCCTCTCCTTTTACCAGCCCTGCCCTGCCGATACGGAACAATATCCGTATCACCATCACAAATCTCCAAGCAGAGATTCGCCCCACTGCTACCCCTGACCCACTGCTGCCCCACCGCTCCACCAACGTCATCGCCGGCCTATCTCTGCCTCAGTCTCACCAGCAGTCCACCACCGCACCGCCCACCTGCCCCCACAGCCACAGATCTAACACAAATCTATAAGAAGGAGAAGAAGAAGAAGAAGAAGAAGAAGAAGAAGAAGAAGAAGAAGA